ACACACACACACACATATATTAGCTGATACTAATAAAAATAATAATGCCACCCCCTCCAAATTATAAGACCATGACTCAAATCCTTTTTTTATAAAACAATCTTTACAGTCTTTGTGAAGCTCACCAGCCACAGAACCAGGGCTGCCAACTGGGTTGCCTCAAAAAAAACAGGAGAGAAGCCAATTCAGGATACCCAAGTCCTCCCTCACCGCACGGATGTAAGGATTAAATGAGAGAACGCAAATGACACCCTGAGCACAGAGCCAGGCCCTCAGGAAGAAGGAGACAACAAAGAGATTTTGAATAAACTTCAACTCTATGCCAGGCCCTGGACGCTCAGCACCACGGACAGAGCTCCCGGCACAAAAACCCAAAGGGTTTCTTAAAGACAAATACAAACTATGCTTTGCTGTAATGGAAGTTTTAGTTATAAAACAATCTGAAAGGAGGGTCCATTACCCAGTCTGGAAAAAGAGTAAGTGTCCAAGATTTCTCCCGAACAAGTGAAATTTCAAAGTGAATATAGGATTAGGGTAGACAAAAATAGGTTAAGGGTGTTTTAGGAAGAATGAACTGAATATGCAGATGTAGAAAGGAATGAGAGAGGCTAAGACACCAAGAAAGACAGAGGTGTGTGTATGTTTACATATATGTGATCAGCAGTAAGAGCAGGTGGCAGTGATACTATCTCATAGTTGCCGTAGGGTTAGGGGTGTCTTGGCCCTGAGTCTCTCGTCAGGCTGTGACCCCCTCAAGGTTGGGTTGGAAAGGATCGTTACTCAGTTCACAATATGGACACTGGTAAGACATGGCAAGTGGGGGTTGGTGGGTGTTTATGTAAATGGTAAGAGGTAAAGACAGACAGTTTGTCAGGAACTACAAGTTAAAGGACTACTATGTGTCAAGTTCTGTTATTAGATTGCAGTCTATAAACTCTGCTCTTGTTGGCTAAAAATCCAAACTAACAATATTCTGACGCTGGGTTGGTGTTGATCTGCTACCACTATAAAGGATGCTGGAGCAGAAACTAGGATAGCTCAAGATTCTATGATTTTATATTCTTTACCAAAGTGAACTTCTCTGAAAGGGCTCCAAAACACCTAGAGCTATTGTGAAGTAGATATAAAGTGCACTCAAGCTGAAATGTTGATTTATGCAATCAAAATTTTAGAACTTACTTCCACATGACACTAAAAAAACTAATAATGCTCTTTCAAGAAGTTTTTATTCTGATGAGAGAGAACAGGTCACAAAACAAAACAAAACAAAGCAATGTGTGAAGTCCAAGGAAGAGATAAATGTTATGCAGAAAAATAATAAAAGAAACAGAGTGAGATCAGAGGTCTGGCTTTCTTGATTTGATGGCATTTGAAAACATGCTTTAGGGACATGAGGAAGGTATTATGGTGCCATCTAGTGGTGGAAGAATGTTCTAAGAAGAAAACAAAAACAGCAAATGCAAAGGTCCTGAGGTAGGAATGTGTTTGCCAAGGGGCTCATCAAGCATAGGTGAGTAAATAATAAGTGTGGAGAGGGTGAGATGTAATTAAGAATAATATAAAAAATCAAAATACGGAGTAGGTATAGATCTCAAAAGATTTTGTTAGGTTTGGTAAGAACTTACTTTTAAATTTTGTGTAAATCAAAAGAGAACTTCCAGTTGAACCAATCTGATAGTATGTAGAAAAAGAATGGATAGGCCGAGGATTTAGCTCAGCGGTTCTGCGGCCTGCCTTGCAAGTGCAAGGACACGAGTTCGATCCCCGGTACAAAAAAAAAGAAAGAAAGAAAGAAAGAAAAAGAATGGATAGACAATTGTTTATTGTAATGGGCCAAATAGCAGATATTTTAAGATTTTTTCTGCCAACCACTGAACTCCTCCTCCTCCTGACATGAAGCAGACAGAAAT